CCCTCTTGGAAACAATGCTGATAACTGTAGAAAGCCAGCATGGGCTTCAGTTAATAATCTGTATTGGTGATTCTGCCTCTGTCAGTGCTTCTAATGTGTGTGCAGATTTCGTGTGTGTGTGTTAGGAGGATCCCTCATCTGTGGCAGGTTATTGTTATTAGAGTAACTTCTCTGCTGAGCAAGCTGTGGGCCAGATCTCCACTGGGAGAGAGCATCCTAGGATGTGTTCCTGCGGTGTTGTGCAGGGTGCAGGCTTGTCACACTGGAAATTGTTAGAAATTAAGTTCAGCTTACATGATATTATGAACCTATATTTGTTAATTGTTCTTGTTTTCAAGGTCTGTCATATCTGCAGAGTTTAAATTTCGAGCGCATTGTCATGTGTCAGCTCAACCCGCTGAAGATTTGTATCCCTTCTGTTGTCAACTTGTTTGCTGCTATTACCAGGTACCTACTCAGTTTCAGCTTCAGATGTTGGTGTGTATCTGAAACCAGCACAGTACTTAGAACGTGGGTTTTGGTAGGCACAGTATAAATATTATCTAAGACATGATGCTGCCCATGTTCCAGGGGTGATAAGTTTATTCTGGTTCAGTTTCAGTGCAAGCCTGCAGCACTATGATTGCTCTGTGTTGGAGCCAGTGTGATTCTACTTGGAGTAAAGTTGATATGAGTATAGAGGAAGAGAGAGCAGGCTCCTTACCTTGTGACTGTCTTGAAAACTCCTAGTGTCAGCTGGAAAATGGAAGATAGAAGTGATGTTTGTTAAAAAATAACTTTGTATTTTAGTACCATCTCAAATCCCTGCTTTAGGTGTGCTAGAAGTGCTTACCTTTTCTTTGTTGCCTTTCTTAAAGGAAATACCAGCTGGTGTTCTGCTACACCATCATTGAGAGGAACAACAGGCAGTTCATCCCGGTTGTTCGGAGCGGCACAGGAGGTGACCTTGTGCAGACCTGCACCAACCCCCTGGACAGCTTCTTCCCCTTTGATCCCTACATACTCAAAAGGTAGTTAAAAGGGAACAACTTGTTTCTGCCTTGTAGGAAATAGTCATAGAATAGAATAAAGCTGTAGGAAGCTGTCAATGTGTCTGTGGTTCACTTTCCTCACTGATCTTTGGTACTTCCCGTGTTGAGTATTTTAAGCAGAGATTGTCAGAGGTTTGAATTGGAATGTACCCCTGCTGTGACAGATAGCAGTGAAGAAGGAACAGGATCCAGTTTCCTGGAAGGTCTAGTTAATATGTTTGGTGATTTTTTGTTGTAAGCAGCCTCTAAAATGTTGTGTTAGCCTAAATCATGTTTTGTTGGAACTATGGGGGATGTGTCCTTTTTTTGTTATTTTGGTTTGGGTTTTTTTGCACTATCAATATATTGCTTCTTGATTGGAGACTTCAGCTTATGTAAAATACTCTTTTTATAGTAGAGGGCAACATTCTGGCTTTTTATTGTCTCTTTTTAAAAGAAATCCATCTCCACAGAAGGGAGACCTTTCTTAGAATTATAAATTATTACTAGTAATATTCATATAACAACAAAAGAATACTATTAATAAAGTTGGGGTTCTTTTGTGAACATAGTGTAGCTGTTAAAAATACCCAATTAGGAATTAGGAGAAATGACTGTTCCAGAAGTCCTCAAGCAAACCTTTGTGATTTATACCTATCAGCAAAATGGAGGTATTTTTTCATGGGATTAATTGAGGATTATATAGGGATTAATTGAGTAGTTTGTAAAACCCTAGAGAGGGCTATCAAAATGTCAGAGCGTTTTATATTGCATCATCATTAAAATTAAATATATATAACTTCTACTGAATATATTAACTCATTCTGTGTTTTGATTCCTCTCTCAGGTCAAAGAAGACCATTGATCCTCTTTATCAGTTCTGGGAAGAGCTGAGTGCTGAAGATCTTGAGAATCTAAAGAAACCCATTAAAAAGGTAATCTTTCTAATCTTTCCCGATGAAAACACAGTTCAGCTTTTTCCAAATCTCTATCAGCTGCTTCTGTTGCAGGATGTTTTTTTAAAGTAGGTATGAGTACACTAAACTGTGATTGAAATTTGGAAGCTTTAGGAATTGATCCAAGCACTTTTCCCCTCTTCTGCAGCACAGGACCCCTGTGAAAGCTTTATGAACACACTCAGAATATTGACACAATGATGTCACTGGGAAATCCACTCTAGATATTATTTAGTTCCCATATCTCATAATGAGGGTACATCTAATTCTCTTACCATTCTAACTAGCCATGACAGTCGTCGTGTAAATCCAGGTCTCTCAAGATTTGACAGTATCTTTCTGCTCTCATCTGATCCTTTTAAATTTTATACAGGGTACTTCTGAAGATGAAGATGATGACTTCTTGAAAGGAGAAACCCCTCAAAATGATGGTGTGGTTGGAATTGCTCCAAATTCCTACGAGTCCAGCACCCGGAGCCCCGTGAGCAGCGTTGGCTCCCCTGCAGACTGTTATGGGCCATTCCCTCAGTGACACATGGCGGGTCAGGAGTGAGAAGGCTGAAAACTTGTGTGCAATGTTTCTCTCTGCAAAGAGACTTTAGCTCAACTTTTCCAAACTGGCAAATGTTTTAAGTAACTACATTTAAGAAAAATTATTGTTTCTTAATCATCAGATTTCTACAGATATGTTATAGTAGAGTCGTATGTTGCTAGAAAAGCTTACAGAATAAATAGGGTGATATTTTGCAAATTTCACATTGAAATGGTTTTTATGACTTAGAAGGGATTTTTTTTTTTAATAGTTTCTCCTGACTGTTAAAAACTTTGTTTACTGATGTTTCTCTACAAGGTTTTATATATCAGAGGTGAAATTCTGGTATTTCTTCCTGCTGATCTGTGTGGGGGCCAGAACTCCCCTGTCAGTGTTCGGACTCTACTCTGATGACTCTTCTTGAGTTGGTTTCAAAGTGAAGGTGTGATTCCTAGATAGGCAGGCCATGAACTGGTCTGACAGTGGTTCTTCTACACACAACTCTTAAGCTTTTCCTATCTGTAGAACAGTATTTGGTGAAGCCCTTTGACAGTGGAGTACTCAGTAAGCACTTGTGTTCCTTAAATCCGTAGCTGACACACACCTTTCCCAGCTATGAAAGTTCAGACATGTAAAAGTGATGATTGTTGGAAGTGTTGAAAATGAGGGAGTAGCTGAATGTATTATTTGTAGATAGTTTTCTTTAGAGTGCTTATGAAGCACTCTGCAACAGGTATTTATTTGCGGGATTTGAAGTTTATATGTGAATGCTGAAAATAGGAAAAAAAAATCTTCCCTTGTGGAAAGAAAGTGGTGATGTCAGTGGTGTCCTTGTGTTGTCCGTGTGTCAGTCACTGTTGAGTTTCTCTACAGAAGTTTCTTGTCTTTTTACGGTTGCTGGCTTTTAGATTTGAGTAAAAATATAAACAGTGGGGAAAAAATGTTACTTGTACAACATTTAGTTTAAAATTTTATGTATTTGGACTAAACTCTAATTGCCCTTCTTTAGAATCTGAACTTGGAGGCTTTCAAGACAACATTTTTATTTGGAGCCAATAAAGATTGATGCCAACAGTGCAATGCTTACACTTTTGAGAAAACCCCATGTCTGTGTAACTGAGGTGCTCTCTGTGTAGCCTGGCTTCTCAAAGCCAGGGTGTTTGTTCTGACAGACTGCAGAAATGAGTTCTGGGGATGACATTGCAAAGTGCATCTGTGAACCTGTTCATCATTGTATAAACTGAGTTTTTGTGTTTAATTTTAGTCCTCTTTATTGTCAGTCCTGAGTAATAAACAATAGATTTCCACTTGAAATAATCGCATTTTCTCCTGACATGCAAGAACCCTTCTCAAATCAAGAGCAAGAAAAGCATAATTTCAAATATGCCTTTCAGCTGCTTCTTCCAAAAGGAGGCTAAAATTTCTGCAGTTTTAATACCAGGTATGTGATTCAGGAGTTTCCATGTCTTATTATAAACAAAACAAAAAAAACCCTGTTACTGTAGTGTAACATCAAAAAGTATGCAGACACTGAACTGTCTGTACTGAAGTTGCACAGTTGTCACTTGATGTGTTTCTGGACCCTCAGCTGTGCTCAGTGTAATTGCAGGCAGGTGTGCTGGCAGGTGCTGGCATTTTGCTAAAGAGGCTTTGTAAATACTGCCAACAGTGAGGAATGCTGATTTGGAGGTGGAATTCTGTGTCAGCTGAGAGATTCAGTGTACCTTCTGAACAAAGTGTCTGCTACGGAATCACTGAATGGCCTGGGGTGGAAGGGACCTTAAAGATTGTTTAGTTCCAATCCTCTGGGACACTTTTCACTGGACCAGGTTGCTCAGAGCCCCGTCCAGCCTTGCCTAGAACACGTCCAGGGACTGTTTACTTTTGTGAAAGTGGATGGAAAGGTGAGCTGGGGGCCTGGGGCTTTTCTGTGTGGGTTGTGGACAGTCCTGGTGCCTGGCTGGTGGACTTGGCGATCTTAGAGGTCTATTCCAACCTAACCGATTCCGTGATTTGTGAATTCGGGGCTTTGTCACTGTTATTTCCAAACCGGTTTCATACCGTAACCTACGGATGACCCCGCAGTGACGGGAGGAGGGGCGGATTTCTGCGAGGGTACCGGGTTGAATCGTCAGGCGGGGCCGAGCCCGGACGCCTTCCCTGCTCGCCTCAGACCCCGCCGAGCCCCGGGCGGTGCCGGTGCCGGTCCCTGTCCCTGTCCCCGCCGAGCCCCGGGTGGTGCCGGTCCCTGTCCCCGCCGAGCCCCAGGCGGTGCCGGTCCCTGTCCCTGTCCCCGCCGAGCCCCGGGCGGTGCCGGTGCCGGTCCCAGTCTCTGTCCCCGCCGAGCCCCGGGCGGTGCCGGTGCCGGTCCCAGTCTCTGTCCCCGCCGAGCCCCGGGCGGTGCCGGTGCCGGTCCCTGTCCCTGTCCCCGCCGAGCCCCGGGCGGTGCCGGTGCCGGTGCGGCCGCCCCGCTTTCCCAGCGCCCCGCGCGGCGCTGCCCGGCCCGGCCCGGCGCGGCCTCGGGAGGGAAGGCGGAGCCGCCCCCGGGCCCGGGCCCGGCGGTCGCCGAGATGCCGCTGCTGGTTAACGGGGCGCGGGTGGACCTGGCCCGGCCCACGGGGGACATGATCCGCGCACACCCGCACCTCGAGGTGAGCCAGGGGGCCCCGCGGCGCTGCCCGGGGTATGAACCCGCGGCCGGGCGGGGCTGAGGCGGCCCCGGGCACCGCTGTGACAACGCGGGGTGCCCGAAATAAATAAAATCGGTGTCCCCGGCAGGGGCTCGGCGGTGACGGCCCCGGGTGCGAGCGGAGCGGCCGGGCTGGGGCTGTCCTTTCCGGGCCCGAAATAGCAAACCCTGGCGATAAAAGCCAGGGCGGTCACTGTCGGGAAGGTGCTGACCTCGCTCCCAGTGTGTAAATGTTATATATGTGTTACTGTCCTAGCGGCGGACTGCCAGCCGGGAATGCAGAGCAGAGCTGGTTGGGAAGGTGTTTCCCATTAGAAGGTGTTTCTTCTTCGTAGCACCTGAATTTATGCAGAAAACCAGGGCAAATCTGATATCAGGGCTGTGAGGTGTTTTTTGGAGCCCCCAGGATGGAAATCTGCTTCCTACCCAGCGGGTCTGTGGTGAAGCATTGCAGTAGTCACAGCCCAGGAATCTGGGTTTTCCCTGCACCAGGCAAGCCAATAAACAGCCATGTTTTGATAAGTGTTAAGTAAATATTATGGGTTGTGGCAGTAGAAGGCTGAAACTTCTACATTTCCAAAGTTTCTTGTCCTGATTAAACCTCCAAGATCAGCTCTGGTGTTGCCTCATATATAATCTTTGCCTAGTCCAAATGCTTTTTGTTGTGCTTCCATTTTATGGTCTGTAAAACAGGGAGAAGTGTTTTGTGTGTCTCTGGAATGATGGAATTTAACTATTAACTTGATCAGTGGCAGGTAAGCAAAAACTTCTTAAAAATCAGAATACTCCGTAATACAAAATACACGTTTCTCTCTGACCTGAGTCCCTTTGCTTTTCAGAGGTGATGTTTCTGTCAAGTAATGCAAACATCTGAGAATTCAGCCACGGTAGTCTCTGTTATCATTTATCTTTAGGAAAAGGCAAAGCTTCTGAGAAGTCAGCCTGCTCAGACTGTGGAACCCAAAGGCCTCCTCTATGTCCAGCAGAGAGAGTTTGCAGTGACCACCCCCAAAGATGGTGTGTAGGAACATAAACATTTGCTCTTCCACTGAAGCAGTGAGTGGGAGAGGGGAGTTCTTACGGTGTTTCTCTCCTTTAAAATAGGTTCTGTTTCTATTCTTGGATCAGATGATGCAACTACCTGCCACATAGTTGTGCTCCGACACACAGGTATCCCTAAAGGATGTTCAGAACAAAACCTGTCCCCCTGAAGTGAGGAATTAGAACTGGTTTATGTTGCATTAATAAAATAAACTGCAGTTATGTTTGTGTAAACCTGAATCTCCAAAAGCCACATAAGTATTAACTAAAGGACTTGTTCGAAGAGGGGGTGTGTTTGGTGTCAGAGGCTCCACGTTGTGGTTGCTCCACCAGCAGATGTTTAACCTGTTCCTGTGGCCAGTGGCAGTGGCACTGCAGCCCTGGGCTGTGCTCAGCAGTGTGGGAGCAGGGGTTTGGAAATGACAGAGGTGGGATCTGTGGGAAGATCCTCGTTACGTGCCTGGGTGTCTGACGTCAGAGATGTTGTCTGGTCCTGCTTTAGGGGGCACTTGTACCCCTGACATGAGCTGTGGTTTTACAATGGGACGTGCAGAGGTTGTTGCCTCACTCAGTGAGCCCGTGCCCTCTGCTGAGGCCGCTGTCCCAAGGCAAAGGGAGGTGCTGGTGGTGCAGCTCTTGCCTTGCTGCAGGGTGTGGAGTGTTCCTGTTAACAGAACAGTCACTAAGTCCCTGTGTTCTGGTGCCTTCCCCAGGCAGCGGAGCCACCTGCCTGACACACTGCGACGGGGCGGACACGGAGGCCGAGGTGTCGCTCATCATGAGTTCAGTGAAGGCTCTCTCAAACCCCGCGGGCTGTGGCAGGTCAGCTCTGCTCCTTGTGCACTGCTTTTCACAAAGGCTGCTGCAGCTTATACAGCGGGAAATTTTGTGTGATTATATGGGGTTCAGGCCAGGTCACTGTGCAGGAAAGTTCTCTTAATCAGCAACCACGTGTAAAGTGAAAATGATTCCCTTGATGATGATTTTGGGGGTGTTTTTAGCAGTTGTTTAAAGCACGGTTCTCTTCTGAATAGTGTCTCTGTAAAACCACTGTGAGGGTTGTGTTTGCTGTTTCCCAGTTAAGCTTTGTTTCAGATGTGCAAAATTTTCCAAATAACTGGTTTTTGGTTTATATTTTCCCTTCCAGAGTGTTGATGTTGTAGATTCTTTCTGATATCTGAGAATCCATCTGGGATTTTTCTAAGTCTACATTAAAAAAAAAGAAAAAAGGGGGGTGTGGGACAGGACAATGGATAAAAAGCTCTGAAATGGAATTTAGAAAATGGATGTGGAGGTTTTTGACCCTGCAGTTTGGTAAGAACAAAAACTAAATGAACTTAGAAGATGTGATGTCTGAAACTCATGATTTGTAAGGACTTGTCTTTACACAGACACTTCTCAGAGGAGAACCCTGCTGCATGGTCCAGAATAGTTGTGAGGAGGTCATGGGAACAAAAACCTTCATGTTCAGTTAACCCTTTTTCAGGAACTGAAAGGTGGTTATAAAGTTCCGTCCAAACCAGAGGTGCTGACCATCAGAGGTACCCCTGGGTTAGAACTGCATGTATGTAATGCCTCTTAAAGCTTCTGTTCTGTGCCATTTCCTTATGATCCCTCAAGTGTTGGGAATGGAGTTCCCATAACTTGCTGTGTGATGCAAACCAGCTTGGTGCATGTCATTGTAATAAGGCTTCTCCAATGATTGCTTTGCAGTTTGGGCTGGGGATTATTTTGTAAAGCTATTCATTTTGAGATGTCTTTTTAATTGCTGTTTCCTGTTATTCCATCTCTGTTAGGCTGGAAGTGCACCTAGTTGGAGGTTTCAATGATGATAGGCAGTTATCACAAAAACTTACTAATCAGCTTCTTAGTAAGTTCACTTTTTTTCCACTCTCATGTCCAAAAACAATAGTTCTGGCTGGATGTGGGTAAAGTTTGTTTGTAATCTGAGTCCCCAGTAATTTTCTGGAAAGAAATGTGGATTTGTTTTGAAGGGTGTTTTTCTGTGCCTGAGAACTCGGTGTGGAGAGGGGTTGGGCTGCTGGGGCTGCTCCATGGGCAGTGTGTGGGCTGCAGGGGCTGAACCTGCCACTTCCCCCTGGCTCCTATTGGGGTGTGGAGAGTTGGGGGGCACTTCAGCTGGGCTTGACTCCTGCTGATCCCCTCTGTGATCTTGGGCAAGTGGTGACACTCTCCAAATCTGAGTGGGGGTGACTTCATTAATCACCATTCAGTTCATACCTTAATGGGATGAGGTAAAATTTAATTACTGTTTGGAATTACCTGATGAAAAATGTCAGGTCTGTTTGTAAAACCCATTGTCCAGAGCGGTGATGGCAGTGCTTTACTAGCAAATTGGAAACATAAAGTACCTGCTACCTGCAAGTGCTCTTGTGCTGAGCACTTTGAGTGTGGAGAGGCTTCCACCCCACTGGAATGGGGAGGGAGGAGGGAGGGGGGAGGTGTTCAAGGGGATAAACAAAGAGGAAAAAGGAACCAGCAAAGCTCTGGTCTGCAGCCTCCTGGCTGTTGCACCTGGTCTGTGTTATATGCCATAGGAGAGTTCTGTACAGAATAAGGTATTTTGTTTAACTTATTTTTTCAATCTTCTGATTCTCATACCTCAAGTTACAATTTCAATCAATCAGGTTGAATTGCAATCAGAACTTAGAAAAAAAAGAGGAATTTTTCCTGGAGTTTTAAGATGGTGAAAGGCAGATTTAATTTACACCTAGTGAAAGACTGGGTTTGCTCACTATATATATAACATTTTAGGAAAAAAACATTTAAATATAAGCTGCTAAATGTGTATAGTGAACTAAAGCAGAGCTGGTGTGATGCCAGAGCTAAACCAGTGTCAGTAAAAGCAGTGAATGGCACAACACTTTTTTTTTTTAACACGTTTTTGCTATTACAAAGGGCTCCTCTCTGTAAATTGCTGTGAGTTTGAAGCAAACATGCAAAAGGCTGTTTGCTGTGCCCTCCCCAGGAGCAGTGGTTTAGGGGTGTGCCCAGCACTGCAAAGCCCACCCAGCCCCTGCCCTGCCACCCCCACTCACACGTTGTGCTGTCCCTGTTGCTGTAGGAGCGTTCGATCTCCAGCCGGATGATGTTCATTTAGTGACCTTCTGTGTAACAGGTAAGAATCTTTCCTTGGGTTTGGAAGTACCTTTAGCTACTGAAATCAAAGGGCTTTTCCTGGCTTTTTTCCATCCTGTGAGACAGAACAGCACAAGTCCTCCATAACCATTTGTAATTGTTAGTTTTATTGTGGTCAGTGGGGGTGATGGCAGAGCCAGCACAGCAGGACTCTGTCCTTGCCAAGTTCTGCTGCACTGCAAAACCAATAGCAGAGCCCCTTGTGATCCTGGCCAGGTTTTTCTGGCCCATTTGCCCTGTGGAACAGGCTCTGTACCCGTGCAGATCCTACGAGACAACTGAGAAGGGCATTTGCAGACCTGTGCCCTGCTGGGCTGCTGGACCTGCCTCCCTGCAGGCTCCAGGGAACTCCTGAACACTTTCAGTTAGTTCATAGTGTGTGATGTCACTTCGAGGAAGTTATTTCCTTTTCCTTCCTCTTTCCATGACAGTGCTGCTGGTGACTAACATTGAAACCTGGCATTGTGGTCATTTTGCATTGTGGTTTTTTTCCCTATAAACTGCCCACGCAGAAGTGAGGAGCAGTTGGCTGGATCCAGCTGTTCTGCTTGGAGACAGCTCTGTTCCAACCCCCAAGAACCTGCACCTTCTTTTCCATATTTCTTTTAGGCTTCCTTGTTTTTTTTCTGTCTTTACAACATCAGATCTGCTGTATGTTATCAAAAACAACTAAATGAACGCTCCTCACAGAAAAATCCAAAGTCCTGCAAGTTGATTTTTTTTTTCTTACAGAACTAAATGATAGAGAAGAACAGGATATTCACTTTCCAATCATTTATGGAATAGGTGAGTAAATTAGAATTATATTTTAGTAACTGGATTGCTTTTCAGATTCCAGTAGTAAATGGGCTTGTAGTTAGTTAATGACTGGCTGAAGTCCATCGTAAAAGTTACAAGCTGCTGTCAGAGGTGAAGGTAGAAATACTTTTCCTGTGGTACCACAGTTGCACGGGTAGGAGGGGCTCTGTACAAAGGCAAGCAGATTTTTTTTCCTTTAACTGCACTTAGGATTTTATCAATATCAAGCTACTTCACTAAATTTCTGCTTAAAATTCAACCTTCTTATTGATTATGTGGTGTTTTTTCTAATTAGTTCACAGATCTCTGGAATATTAAAATGCTGCCAAAGGAAATGGAGTAGAAATGAGCTATTGCAGGCTCAGGGGTCTGAGAAATACAACAGAGTGGGATGGGTTCTGAAGTTCTGCAACACAGTTGTGTTAGGGACATGGTCACTGTAAACAAGTGCCTTGTAGGAATTAATTGTTTCTGTATTTCATCTCTTTCCTCCCAGCTGTGAATGTAAAAACAGCAGAGATTTTCCCTGCAACCTTCCCAGAAAAAGGGCCGGATGAGGATTTGCGTTCAGCCCATGTTTTAACAGGAGCACCAGTGAGTAAAAATAACAGGGGGGAAATGGTATTTTTGTCAGAAGGGTAGACCAGTTGGGAACAATGAAATACCCAAAGTTTGAGGAAACAAAATCCTTTGGTAGCATTCTCTGTCTTTGGGTTCTGGGTTTGCTGCTGCTGTTTGATGTCGTGTTTGTCAGAAGGAAGGGCTGAGCTGGCCCACGGTGTGTCTGGGACAGGAGCTGAGCCCCAGGCCCACAGACTAAGGGAGTGTGTGCAGTGTGAGCAGTGGCTGACCCTGCAGGCTGTGTTCTTACAGCTCACCAACATCTACGATGCCAAGACGGAACAGCTCCGTATTGGGCCTTATTTCTGGGGGCCTTTCCCACATGTGGATTTCTGGTTGGAACAAGACGATGCACAGATTTTACAGGTACCTGAAAATGAACTTTTTTTTTTCCCCTTCTGGCTGAGTAGAGAGGGGGGTGCAGTCTGTCAGAACTTCTTCCAGTGCTCTGCTGGCCCCGGGAGGGTGGGCAATATCCTTGGGGGAAGGCAGGATCTGGAGAACATTGTGCTCTGCATGTCAAGCAGCTCTTGCTCCCATCTTCTTTTTCAGAATCTTTCCACGTCGCCCCTGGCTGAGCCCCCCCACTTTGTTTCCCACATCCGATCGACATTAACATTTCTAAAAGCACATCCCTTTCCATCTCGCTCCCTGTTCCCTGACAGGAAGCCTCGCATCTACAAAAAAAACCAAGAAGGGCTGTGGGAACAGGTTTGTTCTGACAAGATCTAACCTGGAACCAACCACCATCACTGCTTTAGGGAAAGTACAGTCTTGCAAGAAGAGCAATTTGTTGTAAGAAGGATATTGCTGGTCACAAATACCATTGTTCCTGTGCTTTTCAAAATAAAATATTTTGATAGAAGTAACTTGCTTTTTCTGCATTGCTTACGTAGGAATCAGGGGTTTTTGGAGTAAGAGTTTGGCTTTGTTTAGGGTCTGTTGTCAGTGCAGTAATTTGATGGGCACAGGTAGGGAGGGGGCACTGCTGGAGCCTGAGAAGGTGAGTCACTACACTGGTGTGCACTTCAGAAAGTGATTTTGTAACCACAGGGAAAGGAAGCTGCACACACACAGAGCTTGCTGAAATGGAGGGAAGTGTCCTTCAACAAGAACTTAATTCCAGAGTGATAATTTGAAGAATCTTTATTGAAACATTCAGAAGAATGAAGCTCATTCCAACAAAACTACTGATTTAACACTTCCAAATATAAAAACATTAAAAATTAATCTCTGTGGTGATAACTTCATCTCCAACAAATTACTCTTATTATTAACATACTTCATTGCACCAAAGAAACCAAGGAGGAAGACTAGTCAACTTAATTGCTTTTGCACTTTAGAAAAATTGCACTGATTTACATAAATTACCCCAACAGCAAAATTAACCTTGTTTGTGGCATCCCAGCCCTGCAGGCTTGAGGAGCTGAGAATCAAATCAGATGACAGTACAATTCAAAAACCCTAAATTTTTCAGATTATCAAAGTAAGCCCCAGGACCACCACAGCCATTATGGTATTAATGGATACCCAGCGGGAGGGGAGGAAAAAACCCAGTATTTGTATCCAGTTCTCCAGGGATGAGGTGGTAACTCAGGGAAAGCAAGTATTGCCAGAGATTTTTCCAGAAGAGGCTTTGAAAATCTGCAGCAAAGTGATTAAGATGATCCAGGAGGAAAACACTTTTAGACCTTGGGTTTTGATTTTTCCAAAGTAGTCCCAGACACTCTGAAGTTGTGCTGTGCTGTAAATAACCTAAAGAGTTCCTTTAGAGTCTGTACAATTCCTACCATAGGTAAGTTACTGTTATTCAAAAAAAATAAGTGTTGAAACCATCACAAATGTATTGGTTTTTCAAGCTTTACTACAGCTATCTTTAAAAATACACAACAGAAAGAACTCCAGTTACACCACATCGACGTGTGCGAGCAGATTTGGTGTGTGAATGCCGTGCAAAGGAACGCAACGGTGCCTTGGTGATCCTTCCCAGGGGTGGAAGCAGGGAGCTGCTCAGGCATGCAGAGGCACTATCTCTTTCTAAAAGGCCCAGAACTCATAAACTTGGTCTCCACTGCACCCAGGCTGGGTGTGTGAAGTACAACAGCAGAACAAATGGTGGCTGGCCAAGCACGCTCAGTGACCCCATTTACACGGGCCCTCCCAGCGCGGCTGCCGGGCAAGGTGCTGGATAAGGTAACAAAGGGAAGCAGGACAGTAGTGTGACTGCAGGAGAGGCTAAACTCAACTGTAAATACTAAAAAGGTGAACAACTGGCAGTTGGTTTTGGTTTTTTTAATATAAAATGTAGTAGCATAAGATCATTTTATAATTACTGGGTGCAACTGTGTTTTTACCCTTGTGCATGGCTGATGGGTTTGTCAGTAAGTGTTACCATGCAGATTCCTGCAGGAAGGATAATTGCCAAGTGTTTTTACAAATGTTTATGAGCACTCAATAAATTTCACTACTGCTTTGGTGACACGGACATGTAGAGGATTAAAGCAACTGTAACAAGAGTATGATAAGACAAATCTCTGTCCCAGGGGAGGGAATTCATATTTGTGCAAAATCCCAGTTAATAAGTTACAGTAGTTATTACTGTACTAGTGTGTGGCACTGTTCACATTTGCAATGCATCATTAACACCCTGCCTCCCTGGGCAGGGGCTGCCTTGGCAAAGTCTGAAATCCACACTGGATTTTATCTTTCACTTGCTTGTTCCTCTCCCTTTGCACAGTCAGGTGGCGATTTGTCACTGTGAGTGTCCTCAGTGTTTGTCTGTGCCTGTGCCACCTCCTTCTGCTCCTCTGGTTTTTCTGTCTCCAAAGGTCCTTGCTCTTGGCTGGGGGATAGAGCTGGGGGTCTCTGATCCATCTTCTCCAGGTCATCACAGTGGCTGATGGAACTGGTCTCACTGAACCCATCAGAGCTTCGTAGAGACCTTTTAAAAGCTTTCTGACCTGTGAAGTGTTTGAAGCACAGTACCCATGAAGGCAGCAAACACAAACACTGCTGTGCACAAGTTCAGTTTCAAAGGAAGCATTGGAATTCTACAACAGCAAAAAACCAGGTTTTGTTTGGGTGCTACTTTGTACCTAAATATTGACACCTTCCCCTGCAATTAGAGACAGGTCTGCAAAGTAAAAGCACCTGTCCTTGTATCCTGTAAATGCAGGGACAGGTAAAACTGAGCTGGAACCAAACTGCCTACACACACACTGAAGTCATTCCAGGGAAAAAACCTGCATGGAAAACTACAGGCTGGAAGCCACCTGCTCAAAAGGTGAGTTAGAACTGTGGGTTTCCTGCCAATCAGATCAGCATTAATTACTAATACAACTATACAGAGAGTGCCACAGATTGAACAGATCTTCACCTTAGAAGGACTTTGTCCACAAAATATGTGGAAGCAGTAGAAATGCAGTTGCTGAACTACATGATTACATGATGTTATGCTTCTATTTCAGATAGAACTGTTGGCTTGTTTCTTGCTCATTTTTATAAAGCTCAATAACCTCATAATATTCTAGAGGAAGATTCCAGACTTCATGGACTGTTGTCAGTTAATGGGATAACAACTTCCTGTAGTCCCAGGAAGAATTTGTGGGGAGAAGAGGTTGGGGTGGTGGTCTGTGCCATGTGTACAGTAAGGTTTTTAAGGTGGCAGAAGATGAGCTCCAGTTCCAGATATTATGAAAAATGGTAAATCATGTGGCTCATCCTGTATCAGGATGTTTCAGTGAGTTTTAGAAATTAAACTAAGACACAGAAACTCACCAGGAAGTCTTTGCTTTGCAAGGCTGGAGGTGGGAGTTGGTGGTGGAGTGGTGCCTGTTCCTTGGGCCTTTGACACGTACGTGGATTCTGTGGATTCCAGAGAGCCTGTGGGTTTAAAACCACAAAAAAGTTGGTCATAACCCAGGCTGGAGCAGTTTTCTGTTTGCATTTGTAAGGTATGTAACAGTCTGCTTGTTAATGCACATCTCTGAAACTGCATGTGCTGGTTGAGTTCAAACTGCCACGTGCTGGTGGATCCATTTCTGAGTAACCTGGGACACGAGTGCTCACACTTCAGAAATGGATCACACTCACTTCACACACTGCTATACCCTGCAGTCCCTTTTCCATTCTGCCCTGGGCACTTGACATGTTCCCAGCTGCAAGCTGTGGAGCAGTGCACGTGGAAGGGGCATCTACCCATGCAGGGTCAGCATTCCCAGGGGAACCTGGCTGTTCTCTGCTGGGAGGGCCTCCAGTTGGTGCATCCAGAACCAGAAAGGCCCCAAGCACAGCAGGAACCCTTCCCTGCAGGTTACAGGCACACAGCCAGCCAGGCCAGGTGTGACAGACACTGCTGAGTCCAGAATATTCATTCTTAATTCTGCCACAGTATTTTCAAAGTGGAAATTTATAATTTCACAACGTATTATGTTGGTATATCAATCTCAACGATGTAAAAGCTTAGAGGCAGTTCCTTCCACATCACCAGATGTGAATTACAACTACGAGAGTAAAACAAATGTCTTTCCCATGGTACTATTCTGTTCTTTGCTGTCTCCCACACAGCCCAGTCCATGCCAGTCCCAGCTGGCTGTAAGCTGTCCCTGCTGGACATGCACAGGTGATATCCCCAGCCAGGATTTCGGACAGCCACAGTTCAGGGGCCCAGCAGAGCACAGTGCCAGCACTCTGGGGAGGGTGCACATGCACTCACAGGAGGGAGCAGCGTGCAAAGGCCAAGCTACCCCACCAGCTCACACATTCATAAACCTGAACTCCTGCAGCATGTGCAGCCAAAAGTCCCAGAAATTATTCCTCTATTAACAAATGCCAGTGTCTGTCACAGCTTTCTTAATGGGACTCAACACACAAGAGCAAAATGTAAACTGTATGACTGAGGGTTGGAGGTTCTTCCAGGGTGTTGCAGAAATCGTGCAAAGCATGTTCTTGTAGATCCTGAGGGTGGATCATGTCACTCATGATCCAACCAGCACAGGAAGGTGCTGCAGGTTCAGTGTCAAACTGGGAACAGCCCCAGCAACAGCAAAACGGTGCAGGTGCCCTTACCTGCTGTCAGATTGAACGTCCTTCCCTTCGGAGAGGCTTGGAAGGGGGAAAACCAGTTCAGCACAGAGCCCACTACAGGAATCTGTCGCAGCAGCCCCTGCAAAGCACAACCCAACACTGGCTGGTGAGCAGGTGACCTGTTTGTGACAAGTTCTCTCAAGGTACAGCAGGTGTTTAGAGCCTCACCTCCTCCAGAAGTCGTTCTTCGTTTGCTTTCTGAAGCTGAAGCTGTGCTTCCTGTATCCCTTTCCTAACAACTTCAGTCATGTTTTCCAACAGCTAGTAAAACACAGAAATAATTACATGTATTATTCAGACTTGAAATTGTCTTTTCAGTTCAAGTTTTCAGGATCTACACAGGGTAGTCAGGTATTTTTCTAATTTAAGACAGTATTTGACAACCTCTGTTTCATTATGACTGTAAATTAAAGAATGCACAGGTTGACTGCAGGATTTTTAACAGATAAACCCAAAGGAGAGAATGTAATTTTAAACAGCAAGGGTACTTTTTTTCCTTAACACTTAGAAACGAGCTTGTAACCCAAAGTCTTTGAAGACCTGCTTAGCAACTAAGGTGAATATCTGGGAAGCATTTTTAGGTTTATAGAGCACATTTTGCTTTCTAGAAGCACCTGGGACTTAAACCAGCCTTGCAGCAAGTCTAACAAGGTGTATGCCAGCCTAGGCTCCCTTTGTTTTTCTGATCTCATAAACAGCTGCCACTCTGGTCCTCGTGGCAGCCCAGGCCAGCACCAGCCACGTTTGACACTGCAAAGGACGGGCAGTTCACTGGGAGAG